ATATATATATATATTAAAAGTCTTAGTCAAAATCAAGAATGCTGTAGAATCACCTAATTAACAACCCCTTTATCAGTATAACATATAAAGGTATTAGCTACTAAACATAAATTACTTATTGTAATATAAAACCTTTTACTCTATATAGTTTTACTTAACATTTTGATTATTTTTATAACAGGAACATTGTTAGCATACACTTACTTAGGATGACTAACTTATTTCACATGATAAAAACTAAAAATAAAAATAAAACTTATTGTAAGCAGAGGAAATCCAACGAATATTTTATATACAAGTTGAGAGATACAGCTTTTTGAGTGGATTATTTTAGTTTTGGAACAACAAACGTTTTACCTGATGATGACCACACAAGTGGTAGAAACATTATAAAGTTCAAAAATAAAACAATTCATTCAAAAAATTGTCTAGACCTGTCTTCTTTAAACATATCATTTGTTTATAACTATATGTATAATATAGTTACTTTAATATTCTAGTAATAGTGAAACTTAGTTTTCAATTTAAAAAATAGAATTTCAAACTGGACTCACCTGTTCTTTAACTTCTGATACACCTTCATACCAACTTTGGTTGGTCAAGATAATTTTGTAAGGAAACCAATAGCCTCGCCCACCTTCATCCTGAATAAGTGCAAATTTGTCTTCAATTAACCATCGTAAAATTAAACAAACACAGTCACGTAATTGATTAGCACTATTACTATTGGTATTAATATTATGCCTTGTATCACCTGTAACTGTTAGACCATTTGCATTAGGGCCACTTATCACACCTGATGCCATTCCAAAGTAGAAATGCGTGGTTTAGATTAATGAAACACCACTCTTGTTGGTATTTGCTGAAAAACTAAAACTGCATAGTTTCACTACCACTGTCCAAGAATACACTTCAACACTAAAACTGCACGGTTTCTAACCGTTATGAATTCTTGAGGCAATACTGCCACCTGACAAACATACATTTTTCTAACTTATATATGAAATGTGAAAATGAAATATTCGTTATTTATACCTTTCTAAAACGTTTCCAGTCTACATTTTTAAAGTAATTTTAAACAGTTCTTAAATACATTTGCTTACGCTATGATCCTGTTTCATGATATTTTAACAAAGATTATTTCTATCATTATTATGATTTTCAACTGCGATCTCAACAAGCACGCTGTAAAACGCTGACCGCATTATTCTACGGACGGCGTCATCAAAGGGGTCGCGTGTGCTAGTAAAGCTACTGATGTGTAATATTGACAACAAACCTTTAAATTTACTCTGCTCGCCATATGTGTATTTACATTAACACAAAAATAACAGTTTTGACAAATAAAACTACAAAAGATAGAAAACCCTACATTTATCACAAGATCATTTTTCGTGCATGCCAAAACACAAAATACAAACTCGTTTCATAAAAACCAATGCCCATTTTATCACATTTTCAAATATACTCCATGATCTCAAAAACGACCATATCCAAGTGAATTTGAAGATTTTCAGAATCTTCATCTAAATCCTTAATGAATAGTTACGAAATCATGCTGAACACGGCCGCTTTTTTGTGTAGTCACAACACTTGGAGACATCGAAAGCCTATTATTTTGCATCGGCATTTTTGAGGTTCATAATATGGCCAAAATTGCCATATTCAGAAGCACTTATGGATTTACAGAAACCTCAACATATATCTAAATGCAAACATACCAAACAGGCCTGAACACGGCCGTTATTAACTTAGCAATAATATTTGAAAACATTGGAAAGGCAGCGGTTATGAACATTTTAACTTTGTATTGTTACCACAGCGGAAGCACCGTGACGCTGCTGGCGCGCTTGGCGCTAGTAGCGTGCGTGATGAGTTTCTCGAATGATCGGAGAAGTCCGAGTGTGATCGAGATGCCCCCTTCGTTAGTATATAAGCCTGGCAGCGAAAGCCAGTGGATACATGAATGAAAAGAGAGCAGTAGTTACTTTGAGTTCCGTGTAATTTATGATTCTGTTACTTTCGAGCTAGTGAGCCGTAAAGTATGTGTTTTGCACTCGTCGAGAACGAAGTTATCGATATTGTGAGTAGCTGTGATTTACAGCGTGTATTATAAAAGTTAAGTTTAAAGTGACGAAAAACTTACCGATTGAGGAACTACTGTGTAATAAAAGTTTGAATCGAGGAAGTATAAACTGGTTTAATCAAGAAAGGGCTTGTATTGCTGAAGATCCTCGGGAATTCTACCAGAAACAAACAAACAAGCAGATACGTAACAGTATTAACTGTTAATAAATTTCATGTTCACTCCATTATATAGCCCCCCCCCCCAGTGGCACAGTGGTATGTCTGCGGACTTACAACGCTAGAAACCGGGTTTCGATACCCGTGGTGGCTAGAGCACAGATAGCCCATTGTGTATCTTTGTGCTTAATTCCAAATAAACAAACAAACACTCCATTATATAAATAGTTTACACAAATCTTTTGAGATTATTTTGTTTTGTATAATTTCAAAATGGTATCTATTCACAGAAATAGGTATGTAATCACCATAATATGTACTGCAAAATTATATTTGTTCACAGAATAAGCAAAGTAAGTATTAATGGGATGACCTTGCCCCATTGTACAAGGGATGCCACCTCAGTGGGGGGTCGCCATGTGAGTGGAAATCAAAGTGTGCCGCCTGAAGGTTATGTTGCGTCATCGAGATCACGTGACTATTCTCACGCCCTCTACTTTCTAGAACTATCCTGTACTTTGGCGAATGCTCTAGCATTTACTAGATATAGGGTAGTCTGGTATATAAAAGAGGGTGACAACGTTACGGCAATGTAATGTGTGTGTAGATAGTGGGGTAATTGAA